AATATATTTGCTTAATGGTGAAATGATGTCAAGGCTTAGTAGGAAATTTGTGATATCCCCGACACTTGGTGTGAGTGGACGCTTGAATGGGTCACTATATTGTGAATTTTGCGATGGATTTTTACAAGGGATGTAATCCCTTGCAAATTTATAGATTTTATATGGAATTGAACAAGGGAAATTTATATCATCATCTATTTTTACTACTGATTTTGCGAGGGATTTTAGATCTCTTAAAAAGCTTCCATACAAAAAATATTATATTTGCGTTTGTAAAGACTTTTGCGACGAATTTGATTGTACATATATAAATAGTACAACCAATTTCTTTGTAAGGTTTGATGTTGATATACTTTTTTATGATATTAGTGGAATTGAATTATCATTTCAGGACATAATTGAAGTGATAAGAGCATATTTCGATGAGAAAAAGCATATGCTAAGACCAAATACAAATTACATTGCTATTGAGGGTCGTGTAATTGGTGCTATGGTAATGTGTCCGACCCATATATACGTACTGGTGGTGCGACAAAATCTATTGAGGTATTCTTCTGTACTATTATTTTCAACTTTCAACATAATAATACGTTATATCTATTATATTTTTTTTTAACTAATTGATAAAAATAGAACACAGGTTAACTCTAGGAAATAATAAACTATTTATATTAAAATATGAGAAATTAATATGTCAAATGTTATTTAAGTTCACTAGACTGTAGAAAATGTGTATATTAGAGAGTTAAACTACATTATTTGAAAACTATTATTCATGCATGCACATTCTTATAGATATACTAGATTTTTTTTTTTCCAAAAAAAATTCTATATACAATATTCACTTATATTTGTTCTGAAATATTAATATAATGTTCTTTTCTTTTAGCTAAGATAATATTTTGAAATATTAATATAATGTTCTTTTTCGTTATTATAATAAATTGTATATTCTCTCAAATACTTTTTTCATTTATCATGTTCTTATAATAAATATAATGGACACACGTTTCATAAAGAAAATTGGTATTACTTTATAGGATAATATTCTAAAGTTTCTATTAACAATCTTATTTTATACCAAAAATTATTATTTTATGAAGTTTGAAGAGGGGGAGAATCAATATTATTCTTATTAAGAATAATTTTGATCATTGTAGTTTGTTCTTTAATTGTCAATTTGAATGGAGAGGTTTGTGTTTGTATTTAGATACATTTTAGAGGTAATTTTTTTTTTTTTTTTAAAAAAGTTGAATAGAAATTAAATATTGGATGTATTTTGCATAGTAAAGAGCTCCTAATTAATGTATATAATATTTTCAATATAAAATAGTATACTAATAAAATTCAAAACATATAAAGAGAGTCCTAGGTGTGTTGGTTTGTTGATTTCATTTGCATAATAGATTGGTGTGATGTTTAATATGTAAAAATAATATATTTTTTAGTTATTTTGATTTTTTCATAATAAAAACTAATAAATAAATAAAAGAACATGGCCTTAATTTAATGTTTTAGTTTTGAATGAGATATGGCATATATTTCATAATTGAATTTTCTTCGGGTGATCACATGTCAAATTACAACAAATTAAATATAAAAATTTTAGTTTTTTTAATCCTTTTAATTTTATTTTATTTTTCAAAATAAGATTAGAGTACTACATGATCATACGAGAATTTCTAATTAATAGAAAATTTTGAATTAATAGTTCAATTCTACATTGTTCATATGCAGTAAAAAAGTACTATTGCAACTTATGACAATATTGTAATTTTTTTATTAGTTATAATATATGTACCATTGATAAAAAAAAAATTTACGAAAATTTTAGTCATGTACAAACATTAGTAAGATTAATATATATATAATGCAAATATTTATGTTAATTTAAATAACTTTTTACTATATTATATATATTTGCAGGGTTGTTATTCTATTACAAATCTTTTTGGTCGTTGTATTATTCATTATGATGGAACAATGCAACTTGATGAGCTTCTTATAACTTTTAAATCAGAGAATCAATGCATTGGAGGATTTGTTATAGGTCCTCTCATCGCAAATTCATACGTAGAGGTTAAAATTTTTCTCTCTTTGTCTTCTCTCTCTTGTTTCTTAGTTAGTTTACTACAAAAATATTGTTTTATCATTTTGAATAAGTAAAACAAATATAGATGAGTTATGAAATGGTTTGTGTGCAAATATTTTGATTTTACATACTATATATATATTTTTAACATTATTTCATTTATTGTAGGTTACTGTTCGTTGTTTTCCAGTTTTTGAAGGTGAGAATCGAATTGAAGATTAATGAAGCCCGCAAGTTCTCAAATCTTCAATCGATTTTCAAGTTTTTGAAGGTGAGAATCAAATCGAATTGAAGATTAATGAAATCCGCAAGTTGTCAAATCTTCAATCAATTTTCAATTCTTAGTCGTTGAGATTTATGTCCTATTTGGAATTTTATTTCAAAAATGAAATGAAAGACAAACAATCTTGTTCAATCATCTTTGATTTATTTTTTATTTTTTTTCTTAACTATAATCATTTATGGTTTAACTTTAACCACTTATATAAGAAAAAATGTAAGAGTGTAATAGGATGAGTAGTGATCATAAAATTACAAGTTCAAATCCTTCAAACTCTATTTCGATTGGCTCTGTTGGAAAATACAAAGAATACTGTGAGAATAGTAAGAGATTTTACAAAATGATAAAAAAAAAAAAAAACTACAACTACATGATCATAAAGAAATTAGATTTTTTTTTTTTTTTTAATTGGATTGCTCCTCTTTTATTTCTAAAAGAGACTTTTTTCAATGGTTCAATTAATTGAATATTTTATTTACTTTTGTAACATTATTTTATAATTTGCTTTAACTCCCACTAAAACTCGTAAAATGCTATTATCATCCTTATTATCAAATGATTACTACTTTTTCTATGTCGACACTAGTGACGGATCTAAGGAGGTTTGAGCCAGTGGGCACCAATCCCCAAATCCCAAATTCTATTTAATTATCTAGTGTATAAATATTTTTTTATTATATAATTATGTTAATTTGTTCTTCAATATATTAAATTTATTATTTTGTTATGTTTTTTTAAAAAAAAAAAAAAAATTCTTATCACATGTTATAATTGTGACAAAGATAATAAATAAAAAATAATATCAAATAAGTAAAAACTATAGCGTTGGTCAACCCCATCAAAATTTCGAAGCAAATTCTGTCACCTATTAATACACATTACCAAGTTTTTAATTAATTGGACTTACGTCCACTTGGGCCATTTGGGCTTTTACTAGTGTGGGTTAATCCATCTCTCAATCTCAACTTTTTTGGGTTTTTACTAGCGTGGCCATTTGGGCTTTTTGCTCCATTTGTCTAAATAAATATTTCAAATCTAAGTTCGGTAAAGGATAACCTGACGGTGTAGGCGTTAGACCTTGTGACTAAGGTCCATAGAGTGAAAAAATTACCGTGTGTGCTCTAAGCGGAAATTTAAAACCAACATACATTGTGTATATAATTTTATTATAAGAAATAAGAAATAGTATTTATTATTTTGATCAATAAAAATATACTAACCGTGATTATCTAATTTTAAAATATCTACCAAATTAAATCAATATAAAATCAATTTTATAGTTAAGTTGTTTATTATATAAGTTAGTGCATGCTCGTATGTTGCCATGAATTGTATTGTTAAGAAAATATTTTTTTATAAATTAATGAATATGTATTATTTTGTTTAGTAAAAAATTCTAAATTATCATGATTATCTAATTTTTAAAAGCCAACCAAATTCAAATCAATAATATAAGGTCAATTTATACTAAAATTATTTATAACATAAGTTAATGACTTTAATTACTTAATTAATTAATTTTTTTATAAAGCGAGAAATTGCGACTAGTATTTTTTTATGTACGCTTTGAGAAATTTTCAGATAGTAGCATAAATTTTCAGACCACTAGCATAATAGTATGTAAACTTCATCTGCAAATATTTTACATTTAGGGTGTGTTTGTTGGGCGTTTGGTTTTTGAGTTGAGATTTGAATAGTAAAAATTTTGAATTTGAATAGTTGTATGATGTGATATAAATAGGTATTGATGTAATATTTTGAATGTAAAATTAATTTTTTAGTATTTCCTTCGTCCCACCACAATTGACATTATTTTTATTTTTTGTTTGTCCCGTAACAATTGACACCTTTCTATTTTTGAGAAAAATTATTAAACCAAAATATATTTAACAAATATAAATCAACTTAATTAACTACATAACATATAACATCATAAATGACGTAGAACCAACTCAATACCCCTTTATTTCTACATCTCTCTTAAAAAAATATATATATTTTGATTTATATTTAAAACTACACATCTTTTATAAAATTGATTTATGTTAATTATAAATAAACAAAAATATTTTTTTATTTACTTGTATTATAGAAGATTTTATTTTTTACAAAATAATATTCATATTGCATATATTTTTTAATTGCTATATAATTTTTAAATATTTAAATATATATTTTAATTTTTTTAATCATATATATTAAATTTACTTTAAAACTATAAATATTATTAATTATACAAAAATTAATATAATAATATCATAACTAATTATTATTAATTAATTAAAAATTCTCACCTTTATATACCGTATCCCTAATCAAAGGTTCAATATAATATAAAAAATAAAAATAAATATTTAATTTAATATTTAAAAAAAAAAAAAAATTAATAGCGTATTTAAAATCAATCCGCAACAAAGTCACCGTTTTGCAGATAATAAATTACTCGTAATGATTTGGGCCGTCAAATATTATTATTAGTTTTAAATAAATCAAATAACGTTACTATATTTTTAATTTTATATAAATTATGATCTTAAAGAAAAAATTTGAATGGGCCGGGCTTTCAAATAAAAAACCAAACCGGCCCATCAAGCAAACCCTACTTGTATTTAAAGCCGCATCATCTTCTTCTCGAAACGCATTCACCCAATTGGCAAACCCTAGCATCCGCCGCCGCGGAAGATGCAGATCTTCGTGAAAACCCTAACGGGTAAGACGATTACCCTCGAGGTTGAATCCTCCGATACCATCGACAATGTCAAGGCTAAGATCCAGGACAAGGAAGGCATCCCGCCGGACCAGCAGAGGCTGATCTTCGCCGGGAAGCAGTTGGAGGATGGCCGCACCCTAGCGGATTACAACATCCAGAAGGAGTCTACTCTCCACCTGGTCCTCCGCCTCCGCGGTGGCGCGAAGAAGAGGAAGAAGAAGACGTACACCAAGCCGAAGAAGATCAAGCACAAGAAGAAGAAGGTGAAGCTCGCTGTTCTCCAGTTCTACAAGGTGGATGATTCCGGTAAAGTGCAGCGGCTGAGGAAGGAGTGCCCCAACAATGAGTGCGGTGCAGGTACTTTCATGGCGAATCACTTTGACAGGCACTATTGTGGTAAGTGTGGCCTTACTTATGTCTACAATAAGGCTGGCGGCGACTGAGATTCATTTCTCCGCCTCGTTGAAAACTCTACAACGTTTACTGGTTTTGCACTTTCTGAATTTCGTTGGTATGGCTTAGGGCAAAGATTTTGTTGCATCGACATTGAATTTATAATTTATGTTTTATCTTGTGACTTTCTTCTAATCTTTGTGGTTGTGTTATAGAGTTTTTCTTTGATTCTACATCTTAATATTTTATGTTTTTTTCCTCTGCGAAATGGGTTTATATCTTAAGCTTTCCTTATATCCTTATTTGAATTATTGTGTTGCTGTTATAAAATTAGTAGTTCTTGACTAGTCGAAGGGGTCCTTCGATCTAAATATATAGGAAGAACATATGCATAATGAAAATCTATGTGCAGATGTGCTTGCGTTCAATTTGATCTGCTTACAAAGAACATCAAATGCTGAATAAACATCTTGATTATATTTTCAATGTTCGATCAAAGATTGGTTTTCAATTTCTTTCTATCCATTTAATTAGGTTGACAAAAATTATTTCTTGTGAGTAGCTTACAAAAACTGTATATTGGAAAGTGTGATAATACAATTTCTAAATGGTTTAGAGATCTTTGAATATCTAAGATGGTTGCATATTGCAAGTATGCTCTCAACTATAGCTTTAGAGATTATTGTGGAACAGGGAAAGGAAGAACCTATCTAATTGGATAGGGAAACTAGAAATTTCCCATTCAATTTTGATAATGGTTTTTCTTTTTCTGTAAAGATAACCTTTTTAATACAATCTTAACCTGATCTGTTCTTGTTCTTTATTGGGTTGTTGATTTGGTCTCTGAGTGATTTTTTTTGATGATTTTAATGCCTCCATTGTTGATTTAGTACAGTTGTACACTCAAATTAACTACTGATTTCATTTCTTAAGCTAAATGGCATGGTTTGTTTGATGGTTTGTTTGAGCATGGTTTTTTTGTTTTTAAAAAAAATAGTTTATGTTGATCATAAATGAATAAAACTATTTTTATATTGAATTGTATCATATAAAATTCTATTATTTATAAAATGATATTATAAATGATATTTAATATAATGTTTAAAATATTTAAATATATATATTCCAGTTTTTTTACTATAAATATAAAAATTATTGTTTGCATACAAGTAATATAATAAATTATTATTATTAATTTACTTTTTTAAATATTGTACACTAATCAAATATGTTACACATATGTTTGTGGAAGGTGGTGGTTTTGTTTTGAAATTAAAAAGGCACAACACATCTGGTCATTACGGACTTTTCCCAGATTAAACATTTACTCCATGTTTGCAATATGTTAAAATGTTGTGAAGTGCATGGTGCGTTTATTTTTGTGAAATAATTTGAAGGGTTTTTTTGTGGATAAAAGATATATTTTGCGTAATTGTATTTAATATTAAAAATATTTTTATATTTATATATATATATTTTTTTTACAATGTCTTTCTATTAGTATTATAAGACGCTAATAAAAGTATTTTTGCAATTTTTTCTTAATTTGTATTATGTTTTGATATAATAATTAATATTCAAAATTGAATAGAACTGAGTGAAAGTATTATACATGATTTTTTATTTTTTGGGATGGTATTTTTATTACAATGAAAAATGTTGCTTTGATTTATGGTTGTACATAGTGTGTGTATATATATATAAATGTATAAAGTAAACACTTTACATACAACATGTGTGTACATATATACACAGTGTGTGTATGGGACAGCGGAAAAGAGTTCCGTTGGTTTTACATATATACACACTGTGTATGGAACAACGGGACAGGATTCGTTGGTTTTACACACAATCTTGTAGGAGCAGTGCGTTGTGTATGATGAGGGGAAATGACACTATACTTCTAAACTATATATGAGTTATTGGATAATTTTGCCTTTTCTTATTCATTCATATCAATGTCTTAATTATAAGTTAGTACATCACTACTCATAACCATTACATCTATTATCCTAAATTTCCACACTTCAAAGTGTTGTGTTTAGGATTATTCTTTTTCTAACACTCTCCCGTCAAACTAGCAATTCATTTATAAGCTTGCTAATTCAATCTCACTATATTAACACAAATGCATACAAAAAGCAGCAAAAAGTGGTTCGTTTAGTGTGATTTGTTCTCCGGGTCTAGTTTGTAGAATATAGGGTTCGACTGGAAATTTATTCGGTGCGTACTTTCAGATAACGGCAGCAGGTTTTCGCGTCATTAAAAGAAAAAACCAAGAACACGTGCTCAAAGTATTGCTATCACTCCAAAGTGGTTTACAAATGAAGGGGAATATAGACTAGTTCAATACTATTGGCTAACATCGATCAAGTTTAATCTTTATTGAATGGACTTAGTCATTAGGTTTTAGTCTCTCCCGGAGGGTTTTGAGATTTTCCGATAGTTTATGGAATTTTATTTCAATCATTCTCAATCACAAATTTAAATGCTCCATTTCTCTTGAATAAATTTTCAACGTTACTATAATAGAAAAATTGATGCAAAGTATAATTAGTAAGTAATTAATAAATATATTAATAAAAATAATTATGGTATAATAAAAATAATTATAGATTAATATTAAGATAATTAAATAATTTAATTAAAATCAGAAAGATTATAAATTATAAAATTTAAAATGTGATTAAAATATACAATTATATTTTTTTTAAAAATAAATAACAAATTATATGGCGAGCGATAATTTATGTGAGATTAAAAAGTACAGATAATTACAATTAGTGGGACATTGGTTGATAGTTTGGGGTTAAGTAGGAAGTTTCTCATATATATGTTTATATATATATATATATATTACATTTTATATTAAAAATAAATATTAAATATATTTTTATATATTAATTAATTAAATAATTAAAAAAATCAAAATTAAAATAGAAATGAATGGTGGTGCCTTCCAACTTTTTCCCATGCTCCGGTTTTGTTGTTTGAATTCAAAGTATGAGGCTTGAAAATAATTGTTTATTCCTTTCTTGTCTTTTTTTTTTTTTTTTTTTTTTTTCTTCTGTAGACATTTCTTTCAAGTCTTGCTTGCACAATTTTTCTATTTTGTACAATTTATAAAGATAAAAATAAAAATAAGTAATATTTTATAATTAAATCATTGATTTTTTTGAATAAATCAAGTATATACATATATGGTGTATAATTATTTGTGTATAATTTTTCTTTAATAAATATCCACTTCTAACCTAATTTTGTTTAGATTATAATTTTGGAAATTTGATACTATTTTAATTGTTTTAGTGAAATCAACTCAGATATTAATTTTTTTACTATTATTAATTTCTTTCAAAATTTTAAAACTCTTGAATTTTTTTCCCTTTTTATGCAACTATATTGCTCCTTTATTTATTTGTTTTTTAAATACAATATTTTACTAGGTTAATTTTTATTATTTTTTTTGAAAAAAAATAGTATTCCAATATTTTTAAAACATATTTTGAAACAATTACAAGACCATGACTGTATTACATTTTTTTCTAAAACACATTTTTTAGTTACTAGTTATTATTGGTGTGTTTTTTTAACAAAAATATATATATATATATTTCAAAAAATAATTTTTCATACTTTATATAAAAATAAATAAATAAATAATTCTTCTTTCAATTATCTGCCAAAACAAACCACCATAATATCTATTGAAATTGTACTATTAAATTTTATATATATTTTCTTATCTTAGATATTTTTTCTAGTTTTATTAAAAAATTAATTTGTTTATATATTCTACTTTTATATCTCTTCTAAATTTACAAACATATTTATATAATATTTTTTACTTTTTATAAATTAAATTATGTATATATATACTTCATTTATTTATCTGAAATTCATATTAAATATATTTAATAGAATAATCTCCCTCTGATCCGACCATGTAACTATTTTGTTATTTTTATCTGTCTATATCAAATATATATATTTTTATTTTAACAAAATGATATTCATACAATTTACACAATATTACAAATAATTGAATTAAAAATATGAGTTTGAGGGAATTTTTTTTTTTTTAAATTATTCTAATTTATTGTTATCCTTAAAATACTAATGTTTTAGAAAGAGATCATCTTTCGGCTGAACATAAGTACATTTTTTTGAGTGATTAGTATTAAGAGTCCCAATATCACAATCCATTTTATTTTTATTTTTTAAAAAAATTAAAATTATGTTAAATCAATTATACTTTTTTTTTTTAATCTAATGTTATTATATTATATTTATATTATTGTTAATTTTTTTTATCATAATTGTTAATTTTTTTTTCTTGAGTGCTCGTTTGATCATAATTGTTAATTTTTTTTATAATAAAATAATATAAAATAAAATAATAATTTTTAACTTAAAAAAAAATAAAAATATACTTCGATAACAACCCAAAAGATAAATAAGTATAAATTTGAATTAGGAAGGAAGGAGCAGTTTAAATTTACATGTTAGTATAGTATAGTAATCGCACATGCCCACAATAATAGCAATCCTGATTGTGTATAAACATTACTTGCACATTATATTTTATTCTCTTCTTCTCCACCGCGTTTTTCGCCGGCTTCCGCTGCTCTGTTGACCGCCCACCCATTCGCAGCTCCCGAGTCTTCCAGTTCTGCCTTACTGTGAAGTTGCTGGAATTTCAGATTTAGCTCCCAAAACCAAGTAATTCATCGCTAAAATTATCGTTTTTGTGCTGCCGCTGCTTTGATTTGTGGTTGCTTAATCAATCTGGAATCACATGTGATGGCTCCTGTTTTAGCTTCTTCAATACCTTGTTGATCGCCGTTGTTGACTGGTCAGATCAGACCTCCCCTTTTTTCTTGATATTTTTAGATCTAGATTGCTATTGATTTTTAGAGCTTGAAGTTGCAAGAGGGTTTCGAATTCTACTTAGAGTTAGCTGTAGTGCTTGGGATTATCTAGTGGATGGTAATTAGATGAGTCTTATATCTGATCGATTTCTATGAGTTTGGAATTGAATTGTATGTATGAATAGGCTTACTTCCCAGCTTGTTCTCGATCTCCTGGATTGTATTCATTTTTGCGGAATTAATACAATAGAAACATCTTTGGTTCATTCAATAGATGGGTGAACTTTTAGGATCATGAGTATGAGCTTAAGTTGAACCAATTTAATAATCAAAGTTAGTGGTCACCTGGAAATCCCGAACAATATTTATAAATCAAAATTGCAGTGACAGTTTAAATGAAGCTGGGACCTCTAGTTATATGATCAAGGTTCTCATTACAGCACTAAAATGGAGCTATCTTGCTGTTAATCTCAGTCCCTAGGTTATGTAGATGGATGTTATCCCAGCAGAGGGTTGGGTCCAAATTATATTGCCATATCTAGGAATTTATTGGAATTTGTTGTTCGATTTTATGTACTATTTGCAGAATCGTTATTGGGTTATAGCTTTCTCTAACTACTTAATGCAATAAGACAACACTCTGCATTATTACAGGTTTGCTTGGGCTCATTGGGATAAACAACACATTATTTGTTTGAACGCCTGCTCATCTTTTGAAAATTTGGAAATAATAATGGGTTGTTTTGGCTGTTGTGAAGAAGATGATTTCAACAAACATGTTGATGGGGGAGGCCAATATCCAGTAAAAAGCGCTGCAGGTAACTTTGCAAACCCTATTGTAATGCATTTATATCTGACATAGGCTTGACATCTTCTTATCTTTCACATAAATTTATGCCGTGGTTTTCCACTTTCCGTGCAATTTATCTTTGCTGGCATCAATTTTCTGCCATTTTGTTCATTAATCAGATTTATGTTCAATGTATGTGTACTTATGTAATGTTTTCCTATTTTGAGGGTCATGATAAGGATGCTGTAATATATCACCATCTTTCTTTCTTTTTCTTTCTTTTTTTTTTTTTTTTTTAAATAGAAAAATTGGTGTTCCTGGGAGTTTTTTATTCTGGATTTCTAAGACAAGAATGAGGATAATTCAATTTACTGTTTATTTGTTTGGTCCCTTTTTAAATGTGTAACTAAATTGAGGATTTCTTATTATGGTTTTCATTATAGTGGCGTACTAAATTTTGCTTGTTTAAATGCACTTGCATTCTGAACATGGATGATAAGTTACTGTGGGTGTTTATTATGAAATGCACTTTACAGAATCTTTGTTTGTTCAGTTGACCCATATCGAAACAGATACCACAACTTTTGGGTGAAAAATACTTTGAAAAGAGAAACCCCCTCACCCAATTTGGTTCTTGAGTACAACTATTATTAAAATTTGAAATGAGTTGAATTGAGCTAAAATTTCATGCTAAACCCGGTATTATGATTTGTACTTGTGAAATTGAAGCGAATGCTATGCCCCTTGTTCAGGAGAAAGCAAGGACTGTGGATCCTCCCTATGTCTTGATTGAGCTTGTGTGGGTAGATTTCTTGCTAGGGCTGATAGAGATATCCCCTACCAATTAGAGAAACCTAGGGAAACTGTTTCTTCTTATACGAGCAGTGGTCAAGCCTGGCTTGAGAATATTTATTCAATGTTTGTTTATCAAGCAATTTTCAGGATGAGCTTAAGTTGTAGTCTTGAGTTCAAATCGTGTAATATAGATGCAAACTAAAACCTATCTAAACAAGCAAGTAAACAGCATTTAACATTTCTGAACAAGCCAACTCTTATTCAGTACTTAACTAGCCAAATTTTGTGTTTGAGCTCAGTTTGTTTTAATTATCAAATGAGATTTTGATTTATTTATTTATTTATTTATTATTATTATCATTATTATTATTATTATTATTATTTTGTGATCAAACAAGTTTAAATGAGCCAAGCTTGGAAACATCTCACACATACTACAACTATAACAATATGTAGGTCAGCTATTTCCAATTATTGATTTGGAAGTTCATTCAAAAATTAAACAAGCTGAAGGATCACTTTATGCAAGTCCTTGCTTCAAGCAAGGTTCTTCAAAATATAACTTTCAAGTTCTTCGAAGTCGAACCTGTTTCTTTATAATCACTTCTAAATAAGTATTTGGTTTGATAACATTCATGAGTTCATGGGGGCTGCATGTTTGACATCATTAAGGCGCTTTGGAAAGTTCAAGTTTTTCAATTGATTTGATCTTCTAATGATAAAAGTTGATCATTTAATAAACTGCATATTTAAGCCTTGATGCTACTAATATTTTGTTTTAAATGTTCCTATTCTGCATGACATGATGATAGACGTGTTTGGGCTAGAGGAGATACAAACTAATGTAATTTCTGTGGGTAGGGAATGATGGAAATTATCGTAATACAGAAGTTGCATCAAAAGCTCCAGCTGTGAAAGTCCAACCTATTGTTGTTCCATCAATCTCCGTTGATGAACTGAAAGAAGTGACAAACAATTTCAGCTCTGAATCTCTAATAGGAGAGGGGTCATATGGAAGAGTACACTATGGAGTTCTTAAGAATGGCCGAGCTGCAGCCATAAAGAAGCTGGACACAAGCAAACAACCAGATGATGAATTCTTAGCTCAGGTTTGTCTGAAAATAAAATATATTCTTGCTTTCATTCAGACACCGACTCATTTTGAAATTATAGGTGTCGATGGTCTCAAGGCTAAAACATGAGAATTTCGTGGAACTGCTCGGTTATTGTGTTGATGGAAATCAGCGTGTTCTTGCCTATGAGTTTGCATCTAACGGTTCACTTCATGATATTCTTCATGGTATGTTAATAACTCTTACAACTGAAAAGAGATATTCCCTTAGTTTTAGTTTCACTTGGCATCTTATTAATGGAAAGTAAATGCTGTATGATTATTTGTTCTAATTGATCTTCTAAATTTTCATTTATACCACCCTGTGCAGTTACTATTATGTGCAAGGGACGTTAAATTCTTTATTTCATGCTTCCATATCTCTGTGTGATTAGTTTCAATAATTTTTGTCAATAATGTGCCCGTTGCTGATGAATAGAAGTATCTTGAAGTGATTGATAGCGTGCTTTGCTGGCTGTAATATATTTTCTTTCAGAATCCTTGTTGACCCATCTTTCAAAGTTTGCAGCAGTATTACTATATTCTCCATTGCTAATTTATTATCTTTATCTATTGGTTAGGATTGGATATTATATGTATGCTCTTCTTTGGATAATTACACTTCAGATTAGTATGTACGAAGCCTCTACATAACCCCTTTTGACAAATGATTAGGAGTGATAAAAATTCATCTTAAATAAGCTAGCTTTTGTGATACATCTTGTCTAAGGATGTTTTGATGGACACTAATAATGTTTATTTATTTATTTATTTTGGGGGTGAGGGGGGAGGGGAGCTAACGTTGTGTTATGGTTTTATTTTTTGAGAACATGTCTGCATTCAATTTGTATTGAAGTAGTTCAGAATGAGTTTAAATGAACCTTGAAATTTTTTGGGGAATAAATAAAATAATGCAGACATCAATGTAAAAGAATAATATAATACTAGTGTACCAATCTACATTTCTATGAAGTGAATTTTCTGGATTGAATGTTGGCACAATGTGCATAATGCATATGCATGTAGTTGGTCTAACATATATATTATTAGATTTTCATGTACAATACAAGACATGTTTTTTGAACGTCTTACCAAATTTGAAGGATACATTTGTTTTAGGAAAATTTTAAGATAGTGTAGGAAATGCATGTTTGGTTTATATTCTGAAATATGTTAAAATGGTTTCATAACAATGTAGTTGGGATCCTGCATATCGACAGTAAGTTATTTCTTGTCTTCCCCACTCCTCAGTCCTCATTTGGCTTCCTAAGTTTTTTAAAATGGCAAAAAGCACAGAACAAGCATGGATGCATCTGAAATGTATGCTGGTTTTACTGGATGTAATGAAATATATACTGTTGCATTTACAGGACGGAAAGGTGTTAAAGGAGCACAACCTGGTCCTGTCCTTACTTGGCATCAACGTGTGAAAATTGCAGTTGGTGCTGCCAAGGGCCTTGAATATCTTCATGAAAAAGCAGAACCTCATATCATCCATCGTGATATTAAGTCAAGCAATGTACTTATATTTGATGATGATGTAGCAAAGATTGCTGACTTTGATCTGTCAAATCAAGCTCCTGATATGGCAGCACGCCTTCATTCAACTCGTGTCCTTGGAACATTTGGATATCATGCTCCAGAGTGAGTTTTAACACACACATCTCTACTCTAGTTTCCTCCTTTTCTCTCACATTCTCAGTTTGCAACTGCTCTTGATTGTTTTGTTACTGGTAGATATGCAATGACTGGACAGCTAAACTCAAAGAGCGATGTGTATAGCTTTGGTGTTGTCCTTCTGGAGCTTCTAACTGGTCGCAAACCTGTTGATCACACTTTACCCCGCGGTCAGCAAAGCTTAGTTACATGGGTATTGATTCTTCTTGTTTTTTCTCATGTCTAATATGTTGTTTTCTTAGGTTCAAAATTGTAAATGATTGGTTATGTATTTCAGGCTACACCAAAGCTGAGTGAAGACAAAGTCCGGCAATGCATTGATGCTAGACTTGGAGGAGAGTATCCACCTAAAGCTGTTGCCAAGGTTATTATTGACTCTTCAATTATCCAAGCTGCAATTAATACGTGGATGTGTGTGTTTTAACATATTTAAATTGTCCATTTGTTACGTAAGCTTTCATAACTCTTGGATGCCTGTTTCAAATGTTGAGTCACAATTCTTCTGCTTGGGCATCAGTGTAATATGTTTGCAGCTTTCTGATATTTCATGCTAAAATCATATTACCTAATAGAGATTACACTGTTTAGGAGGTTGTTTCCAATCGTCACATCCATTCATATTTGGTACCCGCATATGTTTCTGTAAAGAGGAACTGCATTGGTTATTGACATTTTGTGGAATGCAGATGGCTGCTGTTGCTGCTTTATGTGTACAATATGAAGCTGATTTCCGTCCTAACATGAGCATAGTAGTGAAAGCACTACAGCCTCTTTTACATACTCGGCCTGGACCTGCTGGTGAGAGTGATCATACATGAGGGTCACAGGTAAGCTGTGCATCCTGTATCTGAGCCATGGAAGTTGATATATATAATACATGTATTGTTGCTAGGATCTTCAGTCCTTTATGCAAGTGTTTCCAAATAACAATGAAGAGATGGATCTAGAATTGGGCACAGTTTGGTATTGCCGTTCATGTTGTGTGGCTGTTTATGTTCACTGCATATGAATGAATATAAATATCATGAGAGACCTACTTGTCTATTAAGAGTTTGTATGTACTATCACCTAAGTTGATTCTTTCTACATTAACTTCATTGGTTTTCTTGTTTCCTATCTTTCCTATTGAAATTGGTGAGATGAAATTTCCTGAGATTGAGATAGCTATTGAAATTGTGGATTTGTATTCAAAATGTTTTATTGTGAGTTCCATGTAAATATTTGATTGAAGGAGTCCCATGGAGCCTTAGTGTGTTGTGAACTGCAGATATCAGTCTTATGTTTTTGTGGGATTGGACTCATACCTGTCTATAGTGCTATACACCAAAAGAAAATTAGTAATTGATGTATTTGGCTTAGGTTCTAGAATTGTGGGTTTTGGTATCTAGTGAGATTTTATTGAATATAATTTAAAAGAAAATCTCAAGAAATGATTAACTTAAGTTGTTATTTTGTTGAGGCGGGTGTAGCACTGATTAAGAGTTTCATATGTATACATGTATATAATATATATATGGTATTGGTAGCACTATAGTAGTAGTAGTAGTAGTAGTAGTAGTAGTAGTAGTAGTGGTAGTATCATAGACATAGAGTAGATGTGGGGGGCGTTGATGTTTATCGATTTGTTGGGAAAGTTGTGTTTTTCACAGGCGATTTGATTTCATTGAAGGAGGTTTTGTGTGTGTGTGTGCATCGGCATGAGACTGATGTTTTCTTTCCAACATATACTTTACACGCATGTGTGGGTGGTCATAGATCATAGTATTTGAATTTGGTGTTGTTTTAGAGGTGGTGTCAAAATCTTTGTCAAAACTTGGATGTTCAATGTCCACTTTTCCCCTATACATTCTCATCTTTGGAAAAGCCACTCCTTAAAGCCTTGAGGATCAATATTAGTCTCATTATTTAAGTGCAATGTACATTCTCTTACATACAATTCATGTTTGGGTGAGGTTAGGATGCTGATGGATCAAATCAGTACGAAAAATAAAGGGTCAGCATATGGTTTGAATTAATCCAACATGTAATTTACATGTAACTTTTATGAACATACTTATTGTGATGAGTTCAATATTAGTATGTGATACAGGGATTATTGTCATGTACATTAGTTCATATACTGCATTTGTATTATATTAACATAAATTGTGTTGTTACTGCTAAATATATTTTTATCAGCACACAAACAACCTCCAACATATTGATATACATACATCTTATCTTATACCCATCTAAATATACAAATAGATACTAATAATATTCATAATAGTGCATATATGCCAAAATACTAATTTTACAATATGCTATAAGTATGAATGAATGTTTTGTCGGGGTTTAAGTATAATATTTCTATATACTTGGGATTAATCTTACAAAATTGTAATTTGTACGTCGTCATTTTATTCAAGAATTCTTTTTCGTAAGTCAAAAAGATGCTATTGTCGAAAGTAATAAGACAAGAAATCAAAATCAAAATCATGCCACGACAATGATGTTCTTCTAACATAATGTTGATAAATGATCGAAAACATCTCATGGTAAAAATATCCATTTGAGCTGTGGAATAGCTCAAAAGAAACATACAATCATTCAAAGTTAGTCACACTACCAAAAGCTTGATAAGAATATCATCATTTGTGTCGCCAATATTTAAAAATAGTCATTCATACTCTATGTTCAAGACCAGATCTCAATTAATATATTAGTAATATTAACATAATGAAAAATGTATTCTCCACATTTTAATTCCATTATGCTAGACCAATAATAAGAGAATCACTTCAAAAAAATAGTTAGAGCATATTTTGTGTTTTTATTGACATAATTAACCAATGGGTTTGTTAGATATTTTAAGAATTTACTATCGAATGATGTTGACTATGTTATTTTTTTTTTCAATATTAAGAATAATAGAAGTGTAAAGACTATTACTGTGGTGTTTATAGAAGTGTTCTAGTCTATGTTCATAATAGCAAACTTATATTCACTTTTATACAACAATCTATAGTTTGTTTATTCAAAGAAATTTTTAAGTGTAAATATAAAATTATAAAAGTAGGTAATATGAAGAATAATGATATTTTCATGAATACCCGTGAAAGCAAAATACTATTATACAAGAATACAATAAAATGCATTACAAGTAAGAGATCAAAACAATTTGACAAATTGGGAGCAACATCTCTATCAACAAATGCTGAATGAATGATCTGAATATAAATAGTACTACAATATGTTACACATTAGGCTTATTTATAGACTAGGCTTAAGATATTATGGTGATTTTTGTTTGAAAAATACATGTAGCAAATATATTTTGCGATGCTGCAAACTTGTAATGCATTTATCTATTAAGTTTGCAAGTTTTAAGTGCAGTTTTGTTGTAAAAAAAAATATGGGTGTTTCTAATCTTTCTTCCAACTCAAAGTGATGGGTATTTATTGTGTTCGGGTATATTCAATTGTGCTTTTAGCAACGGTTGGAAGATAAAAGATTTGATGTTTGGCGATTCGTGAGCCTCTCACTCACAATCCGTGGGTTGTTCTAGACTCGGCTTGCAAAAGAAAAACGATTTGTAAGACACAAAACAATGTTCACATAACGAAATATTAGCAAAAAATTAAGTAGTTATTGCAGCAACCATATACATCTATAAGTTAAAAACCATTTCAATAGAGGAACTACTCACGAGAGGAGACTTGTGCGATTGCATTTTCTAGCATGGATTGTAGCCATGACTCTATACATATAAGGTGAAGAATTCATACATGACCACTACAAGTCTACTCTTTATATTTATTGTCTATTATATTTACCAGTTATAATTAGGCAGGTAGGGTAAGGGATAATCCCATTCAACATTCCCCAGTTGAAGAAGAAATAAAACTCTTCTGAAACCACAGAATGAAGCTTGATCTTGAAACCAGATCCGCCGATACAGTCAGTAAATTGGACTTAAAGACTTGTGTTGCCAAGATTTGATCAAATCTTTCTACCCAACAACACATTGACATTATAGTGTTTTGGCTAGCACAACCATAACCATAACATCTTTGAGTAAACATACGCAAAAACACCTCTGTGCAGCACATGAATTGCCTAAATAAGCTAGAAGATGTGAATACTGTCCGAACAGAAATTACAATTATAACTCAATCAATGAACAAAAGCCTGCAAATTAATTCTCCATGTATACCTTCTTTAACTACGCATAAATTGGTCTGTGAATATAACTCTGTTTATTACCAATGCATGAGATTTCAGTACATGTATGGCGCTGTTAAAGAGCATAAATGTAAAATATCGTGTATGAATATCTAAACATCAACAAAATGCAAAAAGAAAAAGGGGGAAAAAGAAAAAAAATCAAGTACATATGATGACAGGGGTATTTCTTTAGCAAACTGTCAGTTGAGAGCAAGAGTAGCATCAATTTTTACCAACCAAACCAACAAACATAGAGATCTCAGAAGCATACCAAAGGCGGCGCATTACATTTACCACAAAAACAATTTAACGAGTGCCTCAGCTTGGTTCGGGGGGCAATACTTTCAGGCTGCGCATCCACTCACAGAAACTAGGATCATCAAAATGAATAAAGCTACTTTTTAGCTTTGTTCGCTGCTCTGCAGTCAAAGTTCGAAGCTGGGGAAATCTTGCCTCCTACAGTCAAAACAATATACGATGATAATTTATAAGATGGATCATACACGAAATTCTCTCACATGGTCTAATGAACTAGTAGCTCATACCTGCTCATAGGGAGGATCTTTATGTGCTGGTATTAGGCGAGATACGAAATACCGAGCCTGGGAGCTTCCCTCCTGTTACAAACCAGAATACTTCAGAACACTGCAATTGCATTCCAATACTAACTGGCCATGTAGTGCAATAGAAAACTAAAAGGAATAAGTAACCTTAAATGCAAGAATCCTAGGAGCTGGAAACCGTAGTTCAGTAAGCTCTTCAACCAATGTCTTACAAGCTGCCAAAACTGCGGCATTTTTTCCATCCTGAGCAGAAAGTTCAGCACCCTGAATGGCATAAAGAAAGGAAGATTAGCATGTGAAATGTTAATCAAATCTCCTTGGATTATCAATTTGGCATTCACTTCACTCAATGCTTCAAATTCCTCTTCTCCAACTCGGTAAAAACAGACATTAAAAGATTCTCTGCAGAAAATGGAATATGAGAAGAGAGATTCTGTTTATGTTGGCATTTCAACGATTGAAGTACCACTTCTTAAAGAAGATTCAACAGCCATTGGTAAATCAGTGCGGAAATCGCCTTGCGCTTACACAGATTGAAGGATCAATTATCAATTAAGAGGGCTACAAAACTTCATGCACTCTTCTAAACTTGAAGTATATAATGTAGCATTAAACCAAAACAAGTCGCTTAAATAGTTGCATGTACGCAAAGAAACATTGAATATTGAAACTCCATAATTAGTCCAGTTCAAAACCACCGTCTTTTGGCCTCTAATAAGAAATTATCAAAATATTTACACATGCTCTATAAAGAATACAGAAAATGAATGCATTATATACATTGCATTTAGATGAACCTAAATATGTAAACTAACACGAAGCATGTTCTAGGTTCTGTAATCCAAAAGATCCCCCAAGAGTGATAGCATAGTTACTCACAAAATTATAACTTGTATCAATATGGATTATATCAAATTGCTTATATGCCTTCTCATTACCTAGATCAGTCCTCGGGGTGAAGGTAATGATTAATAATTTATTACCTTATGTAAACCATAGCTTGGTGCCAAAATAACATGATATCTTTAGCTTAAGGCTCTGGACTAACAACATTTTATTTGTATCCAAAAGCAGGATAAGGTTCATATGCAAACTGCATTCAGTAAACCAATAAATTCTAGCATACCGTCCAAATGAAAACATCTGTGCCATGATCAAGAACAACTGCAGCATCAGATTGCATAGCGAGATCATATGCAGGTAGTTCCTCAAAAGTCCCACCTTCTCGATGCATTAAACAGCGAGGTGCCAGCATGCGTAACGATAGATCAAAGGATGCATTTAGGAATAAAGATCTCAAAACAGATCTCTCATCTTCATGACCAAGTATACTTCCTAGGAGAGGACCTCTCCTAAGATGGAACAAGAGTTCAGGCAATAATGAGAGTTCTTTGGGATACCGATAAAGCTTTGACTTTGGAACCTGGCTACCGAACTTAGCAGCTACATCTTTAATTCTCTCATCAAGTGTTGCCCTCATATCAAGAGCATCGCTGAAGGATTTGGCTCGCAGCAAAGTTCTTTTACCAATAAGAACAGCAGCCACTTCATCTTGAACACTCTCTAGATAAGATGAAATACTATCTACAGTAGGTAACCTAACAGTTATAACTCTTGAGATATCAGCTTGATAAATATTCGAATACTGAATAGCAAATTGGAAGTACACAAAATCACTCTTGATATCTCCACGAAACTCCATTGATATTGCAAAGCTTTGTGTTTCTTCAACACTCAGCATCTGTATGGCTAAAGCCATGTCATTCTTAAAAGATTCATGGTTCTCTGTGTTTGCTTCCTTGCCAGGGCCCACCACTTGGCTAACTAGAATATTATCGGAACACCTTATTTCCATTAAGCCATGTGAACCTGCTGCCCTAGTGGCAGCTCTCTGCAAATTCACACCAAATGCTTCCCCAAAGTCATCATGGAGTACCAAAACACCTCCAGAAGATTTTGCAAGAGGCTGTAGCACTGGAACACGTACAGGACATGTCCCAGCACAAAGTATATCTATCACTGTATTGCGACGATGTGCCTCACTACCTAAGTTGTCCATCCACTTTATTGCTTTTTTTTCCAAATATGGGTAGTTAGGATGAGTAACTGAATATGGAACTGAACCAGGGCCATACGTGCAAGGTCCACCAGCACACACAATTATCCTGCTATTTCCACCTGGCCTTTTAACAACACCTCTTGATAACTCAGCTGATGGACCCTGAATTAAAGCCATGGCAACCTCCACTGCAGCACCCAAACAGCGATCTCGGGAAACTTCAGGCAAATTCAGTTTATAAGGCCTTAATGAAGACAAGATTCCATGTGCTATAGGAATCGAAGCATGAATTGGAGACAGATATATTCCAGTTCCATAGATTAATGCTCTTAATGGTTCCTCGCCTGGTGATTGATCACCAGACAGTACATCAGCAGATGCAGCAGATTCTTCAGAGAAATCATACACAGAAACCGTCCGGCCATAAAGCACAATTCCAAGCCGTGTAGTCGGGGGCACAGAGTCAACAAATGCATGTAAGGAACTCTGTAGATGCTGTAATTGTTGTTCGTCTAAACACTCATCTATTACCAGAACAATTGGTGCAGATATTCTAGATTCAGATACTGGAATAAAACCAGGCCTTTTATTTCCTGTCTGGACATAATCTACCAGAGGAGATGACAATTCAGGCAGATTTTGGAGCTCTTCTCTGCTTGGAGCAATGTACTCGCCTTCACTTCCATTCAAGTTTCTGCATATTACACACTGCCACTGGCCAGAACCATGTAAGATGTTGCAGTAGAGATTGGCGTAAGCTCCACAATTATCACAACGATGAGGATCACGCTGGATTATCTGAGGACCTGGTGAAACCTCCCTTCCAGGAGAAACTAATGCCCCAAATCCTAAACTAGGTACGTTGGCCATTTTCTTTTGTTTCAAAACCTGAAAGATTAAAGCAAGAGAAATAAGCCCCACAAAAATGTGGAAGATGAAAACCAGATCACTGACATACTTTCTCAACAGAAGAAAAGTCACAGTCAAATATCCAATCATAACTAACTAGCAATCTAAAATTAAGCTACATTGCATCGATAAAACAATAGCCAGACCAAAGGAGTACCCCCAACAAATTAATTTCCAATAGTGCTTCAAGCTCAACCTCTCCAGCTAATAGAACATAGAGTAATCTCTACATAAATCTTCAATTATTCAATATTTAGTGAGAGGAGTAATCGACTCATGTATTTATCAATTCGGCGGTGAAATGAAAGGATTACCTTGTGAGCTGAGAATAGGACAGTTGGAGACCCCACATCATTGCCCAGGTCTTCAGTAGCATCAGAAGGTTGATGCTGTAGCTCAACCGATCCGTTTGAGAAATGCAGTGGCGAAGATGTGGGCAACGAGGAACTAGAAGAATAAGCAACCGGCTGAGGAGTTGCAGGGGAAGTTCTGAACGGGACAGCAGCTGGTTGGAGGGGCGACGAAAATACAGGCGGACCAGGGGGAGTGCTCATGAGGGGAACAGGGCTTCCGGTTCGGATCCCATTCGCCGGCGAGGGTAAATTAGGAGTCTTGATTGAAGGAGAAGGGGCCTGATTTGGCGGTATAATAGGCGGAGGAAATACCGGCCTTGATGATGAGGAGGCTGCCGTCGGCGGGGAAAACGAAGGAGGAGCCCCCAATTTTGCATCTAAGTTCGGAATGCCAGTTGAGGAATAGCCTGAAGACGATTGCTGTCGATTCGCCATCAAATGCAACGCCAACCAAAACGAATCCCCAGAATTCCAGGTCCAGGTTTCGAAATTCAATCAAGATTCAAGGCAACAAACCTTCAATAACTCTCCGACACATCGATTTCACAGCAACAATCGCCGCACATGACCGGTAAATTACACCTAGATTCAATACCGAAGCAGTAGCGGATCGGGGGCAAAGAAAGGCGTTGTAGCGGAATCCAAACCAACAATGCCGTATAGCCGGAAATGAAGGATCAATCACCACATCTTTCCATTCAGGCACCAGAAAACTGCGGATATGAACTTTCCGGCGGCGGCCAATGTGCAAACTGCTGATCCCGATTACCGAAAATGCGAAAACCCACCCTTTGCTGGTTATCTTCGGGCCTTTCCGTTGCAGTGGCTGCAGCAGCAAACGAGCCGGCGCCGTGTGAAGGAAGGGACGATTAAAGTGGGATCAACATATTTAGGGTTTTTTGGTTTGTTGGGTAGAAGCGTGCATAACTCGTTGTAGCAGTTTCTGAGCGGTCAAAATGGTGCTGCTATATGCCAAGAGGCACCAACAGTTGAGCGAATTGGATTTGGATTTTTGGAGGTCATTTGAACTGAATTGAATTGTGAAGCAAAATACAGAAATTGGTTTTATCACCACAAAGGCAGCCAACCTTGGATTTTCAAACCATTTTCGTCTTTTAAACTAATGATATTTTGATATTAATATCAGATTATTTTTATTAAAATAAAAAATGAATATTTTGAGACTATCAAAATGATAAAAAAAAAATATTTTTATTGTCTTAAAAAAATCGCCACTAACGGTTTAATCAAAAAAGCCGTTGTAGGGTTCCCTGTCTGCTCAAGAAAAGCCGTTGTAGGGTTCCCTGTCTGCTCAAGAAAAGATTCGGGCTATCTCGCAATAACGAAAAATTAACGAGGAAAGTAGGCAAAATTGGACTGAATGCTGAAAAAAAAAAAAGGAATTAACGAAAAAAATTGTAAAAATCTGAAAATAACGCCGAAAATTAAAATTGCAAAGAAAAAATTAATGCAGAAGAAGATCCTCCGGTGAATGGCAGTCTCATTCCTTTTATTCCTTAAACCTGGTTCGGATAAGATTCTTATACCTTGTTTTTCTCTAATCTCCTCAAACTCTTCTCTCTTTCAAATTATACTTTATCCATTTATCCATTGACTTCGTATTTTACTGATCTGGCCCTTCTTGTGGGCCGTAGTCTCCCTCGGTTGGGCTCCCGCTTAGGCTGGGCCTTTGGTCAAATTTTGGAGTGTATAAATGCCCCCTACAAAACTATTTCGGGTACAAATTGATTTGATACCTGGATAGTTTTGTAATCTTCTGAATTTGGGTACGCGCTATCACTTGTCCCATCTTATTGATATCCCCATAAATCTCATTCTTCACTCTTTCTTCCTTTGTTCTCACCTGTAAAAGAAACCCTTGTCCTCCGAGCTCTTCCCTTCGTCTTTCACCGGCGAGTTCTTCCTCCGACTTCTCACTTTGATCCTTGGTCTTCCTCTGACGATGCTACCGGACGGCATTCTCAGTGGTTTCGGTGACCGGCGGGCAGAGGGACGCTAGCGAGGTTTTCCCACGGTCTTCTCGCCACGGGGGGAATTCCGATGTCTAGGTCGAGGCCGGGTGCTCAGTCCGGCCGTCGTCCCCCGACACACTCCGAGAGAGCTCCCCTGTCATCCGGCGGTACTCGGTTTGGGCTCGCACCTTTCGCGAAAGATCGAGACGAGTTGCCGGAGGGTTCTTTCGACGCCCTCGGCGGGGGTAAGCTCTTGCTAGCCCAATCTTGGTTCAATCTTGTTGTTTTTCCTTCCCGCATTTTCCGACTTCCTAGTAGTATTTGTGAGTTCAAATCGTGGAAAGATATATTAGATCCTCTGTGTGGGGCGCAATGGCAAACCTGGGGCATTCGGTATATGCTGTCGGTGTGCACTGATTTTATTTATCTCGACAATCATATGATCAAATTCCTTTTATGTTTTTGGAGTCCTAGTATAAATGCATTCGTGTTTCCTTTCGGGATTTTGGCCCCGACCGTGTTGGGTGTGGTTGCAATCTTAGGCCTTCCCTCGAAAGGAGTAGAACCTCCTTTATCTCCATCGTACAGCTCCGATCGATTGTCTATTCCTGTTGCTTATGATAGCAACACCACCGTGAGTCAGTTTATTGCGTCGAACATGCTTTCTGGCCCCGTCGAATCTCTAGAACACAATGCTTTCCTTATGTTTTGGTTTAGCAAGTATTTCATTTGCGGTGCATCGAAAGGGTTTGTTCGGGAGGTGGAACCAATTGTGCGCGTACTTATGTCTGGGGCGGAGATAGACTTGGCTTCGTATTTCTTGGGTCTGTTATGCCGTGAAGTGAACGAATTTTTGGAAAAGCTCCCTGTCTCTTCCTCCCGTGAGCCAGTCGGAGCAGGTCCTTTGTGGTTTCTCGAGTTATGAGCGCAGCTATATTTTCCGAATTTGATTAACCCGCATCCTGAACTCCTCTCCGGGTCGTTTGCACCTTTAGGTCTCCATTTGGCACCATATCCCCCTTTTCCAGGTGATCTCCATTCGCTCACCCACTCTCTTTTATATGAGACTAATCGGCCTCTGGCCAATTTCAGCCCTTTGTCTGGTTTCCTTTCATCTCGTGACGTTTCTACTACTGATACCGCCGACTTCTCTCATTCCATTAGTTGGAACAAATGTCTTACTGCTCGCATCTTAGTCGGGGACTATCTGTAGCCTCTCGACATAATCCCTTGCTAGCATAAGTTTACTAGCCTCAGTATTGCGCGCGCCAGTTTGGTCTGGTTCAGGGAATTCCCATGTTTGGTTACCTCTTACCGCTCCCTTTTTTCCGCAGGTCAGGCGCTGGGATCGTCCCGTATCGACGATTGGCATGTTTACATTCATGATATAGAAGCATTGCCTCATTCATCCTATGCTTTTAATCCGAGCACGTTGCCTTCCTTTGACGACTGGTGGGCTGAGTTTTTGGTTCACTCAAATGTGGCCGCTCTTCGGCAGTCCCTAATCGGTCCGGGTGACCAGTATTCATATGGTAAAGATTCGCCTACCGTAGTTTCCGAGGAGGTGGAGGAAGCCTTCATATCTTCGGCCATAGGTATTTTATTTATCTTTTTGTTTTTTGCATAACTCGAAGACGGGTCATAACTGATCCTTTTCTTTTGACCGCAGGTACATCCCTCACAGTAGACGTTCCATCTGCACCGCTTTCAACTATTCGCCGTTCCCGCAAACTGACATCGAAACCAGCCGCGCCTAAGTTACGGCTAAAGCGCCCTGCTAAACGGCCAGCTCCATCACCATCCTTTCAGGTATTTCGAATGGTGATTTTCTTTTTGACGAGACAAAAGCCTTATAATTGGCTGTTCTTTTTCGCAGATCCCTCCCAAGAAAGCTGCTCCCGTGTCCTCCGTTGCTCCAACTGAAGATTCTCTTTCCTGGACATCTCCGGTTCATGTATGCATTTCCTTCTATTCTTCCGCAGAGAATGCATCTTTGATGACTTTTCTTGGCAGGTTCTTCATGCGGGGACCGGCTCTGAGACCGTCGCTAAGTCAACGGAGAGATCTGCCTCTCCTCCACCGTCTTTCCCGGTATGAGTCTGTCGGCCAGTTTTGATCACTTACTAGGCTTGGCTTCTAACTAGATAAACGTACGCAGGTTTCGCGAGGGATTACAACTCCGGGAGGATCGGTTTATTCGGCCCGGGTTCATTCTCCAGCCTCTACCCGGCCTGAGACTGTCAGGACCCTCGAGTCTGGATGTGATGGCGCAGGTCCTGACGACCCAAATCTGATCTTTCCACGTTCCTCCCTCAAGATTGTTGGTGTTGTATGTTGGTCTCTCTTGCATTAAGAGCCACTTGCTGCCTTCCAACCTGTTGTTCAAGACGAGTGGCTAAGCGCTGTCGTTGGGCCCTCCGTTTTTGAGTTCTGGTAAGGAGTTGGCTCGACCGATCCTTCTGATTTCGTGCCCAACTCCCGTCGTCTAGAGCCTTTCTAGGATGTCAAGTTTGGTGGGGTGTGATCACCATTTGATCTACGGACGTTACTTGCCAAACTTCCCCTCCTTTTTCAAAACTTACTTCGGCGACTGTATTCGTGGGGGCAAGTCTGTCCCACACTGAACTTTTTCTCGGAGGTTTGATTGTCCTTCCGAGTCTTTCAAACACTGGTCTTTTAGTGCCTGTTCCCCTGCCGCCTGTTCCATACTCTGATCTAGTCTTTCTGGGCCTAGCGGGACGCATTCCGACAACGTTTATCAGCGTGGGGAACGGCTCTGTATTTATCTTCATGTCAGGTTTCTTGGCCAGCTTGAGGCGGCCTTCTTTGATTGTTTTTTTAATCGCGTTTCGGAAAGCGATACAGCTACCAATCTGATAACCGTACATCCCGTGCCACTTGCAAAACGATTTTCCATTCAGTTTTTTTTCAGACGGCATCTTGTGTCCCTCCTTAAGACGAAGCTGGTTATCTTTTAGCAGATGTTCGAAGATCTGTTCGGTTTTGCGATATCGAAAGAATATGATACCTTCGGGCTAGCATCTTTCCGTCGAGGCGGCTTAAGGGCTGGACATACGTATGTCTTTTCTTGTGTTATCTCGGACAGGAAGGTCTCCTCAACTTCTTCTGCTTCTTTGAGTGCCTCCTCTTGAGTGAAAACACAATGATTTGTGTTTCGAAACTTCTGACTCCGAGCTGCCTGGGCTTTCCTTACAAGGTGTTCAGCTTTCACGGCCTTAGAAGTCAACTGCCGGAAATCGTGATACTCCTGGAGAGCGAGTTTGTCCCGTAATTGGTGCGTCATGTTATCAATGGCCATGTTGACCACTTGATCCTCTGGTATACGGACTTGGCACCTAGTTTCCGACCTTCTAAAGCGTTTCAGAAACTGCTCAACGGATTCGTCTCCTTGTTGTCGTAAGTTAGTCAAATATGAGACGGTTACTTCTGGGAGTGGACTGTAAAGTCGCTCGTGGAAGGCTCTTTCCATGTCCGCTCAGGTACGAATGGAATTCGGAGGTAGTGAGGTATACCATGAAAAAGCTGGTCCCGTAAGGGATAAAGAGAAGAGCTGAAGTTTATCCCAATCGTTATTTCCGTACTCTCCTCCACATTGAGCCGTAAATCGGCTAACGTGTTCGATCGTAGAGCGGGCATCTTCTTCTGAGAATAATGTAAACTCAGGGATTCGAGCGTTGCGAGGTAATGGATGATCTAGAGGAATATACGCTGGAAACGGACGTTGGTAATGAGGTCTAGCCGGTAAGCGTATAGGGTCTCCGTAAATTCTTCGTAGAGTGTCTTCGATTGCCTGAGGATTCAGGAGCGGTGGTATCACCTCTGCATGCCCCCCAGCCGGTTCTTGAGGTACTTGAATAAGTGGTGGATTTTGGATCACCGGCTGCGGAGGAACCTGGAGGATCGGTTCCCATGGTGGGGGACGAAATCTCGGGACTTCTGTATTTCCCCTCACTGTTGGTGCCTGCTGCACCGGAAAATTGCCGGGGTTGGCCTGAGCAGTAAATTCAAAACTCCGTTGCGGTCTGAAACCAGCAGCAACAGATCCATCCATAGTAGTGG